AAAAAAGTGACATGAGAACAAGAGAGAAGCAGGTGAAGAAAAAGAGAGAAGAAAAACGTTGCTCTTGCCTTTATTTCTCTCTTGTCTTATACTCTCTCTCTCTCTTCCAAAAAAAAAAAAAAAAAAAGTCAAAATAGCCTCAACACACATCTCTTCTACACCAACCCTTTCATCATGAGAAATCAACTACTAATTAAGGCAAATGTTTAGGGTGAGTTTTTCCGTGACAGCGGAAAGCACTCTCTGGTCATCTATGATGATCTTTCCAAGCAGGCCGTCGCTTACCGTCAAATGTCTCTGCTGCTCCGTCGTCCCCCCGGACGTGAGGCTTACCCCGGTGACGTTTTCTACCTGCACTCGCGTCTCCTGGAGCGTGCTGCCAAGATGAACGACAAGCTTGGTGGTGGTTCCATGACTGCCCTGCCCATCATTGAGACCCAGGGTGGTGATGTGTCTGCTTACATTCCCACCAACGTCATTTCCATCACCGACGGTCAGATCTTCTTGGAGTCTGAGCTGTTCTACAAGGGTATCCGACCTGCCATCAACGTCGGTCTGTCCGTCTCTCGTGTCGGTTCCGCTGCCCAGCTCAAGGCCATGAAGCAAGTCGCCGGTTCGCTCAAGCTCTTCTTGGCCCAGTACCGTGAGGTCGCCGCCTTTGCCCAGTTCGGTTCCGACTTGGATGCTGCTACCAAGCAGACCCTGAGCCGTGGTGAGCGTGTAAGTGTTCAAAATTCATTAATAATCACAGTGTCTTCAGGTGACTGATCATGTTTCTACTCTACAGTTGACCGAGCTTCTCAAGCAGAAGCAGTACTCCCCCATGGCCGTCAACGAGATGGTTCCTCTTATCTTCGCTGGTGTCAACGGTTACCTCGACAACGTCCCCGTCGCCAAGATCCTGCAGTGGGAGTCTGACTTCCTTGCCCACCTCAAGACCAACGAGTCTGAGCTCCTCGCCACCATTGACAAGGAGGGTGCTCTCAGCAAGGACCTCGAGCAGAGACTGCGGGATGTCGTCCAGACCTTCACCAAGAGCTTCAGCTCATAAATGCTCCCGGTCTAGGTGTATTGCGAACCACTAGATGATGATCAGTAGAGAGAGAAGGGGGAAATCTGTCTATACTCGAATCGTTGGTTGGTGGGGCTTTGTTTCTCATAGAAGCGAGGCGTGTATGTCGTCGGGTGCTGGAAAGTGAGGAGTGGGTTGAGTTGAGGGAAAATACCCCGGTTCAGCCATTTGTAAAATAGAGCCAAAAACTCAAGAGCACTCGATTCCTTTTGTCCGTTAACATGATTTGAACTTGACAAACTCCTACTACCTCTAAGCCTTGTGTCACGTGCTTTGGATGTCTACAATGCGGCTGTACGAATGCCTAAATGGTATACGATTGTTGACTTGGGTAATTGTTTGCATACAGGCGGTTACTCTCTTGATGGAGCTGGCCAGCTTTGCATGATGTCATTCGGACGAAATGCAAATATCGGACCAAAGGCTCCCCCAACTACCGGAGCAAATTCAAAACTACCATTTATAAAGATTTAATTTATTAATATTATAAAAGAAATTCTTCAATTATAAAAAGGTTCTGTTACATTTTCTAATTTGTTTGTATTTGAAGCAATACGAAAAGTTTGCTCCTGTCGTTGGCCTTGCTGAATAGACGAGATACTGCCCCGCAGTGGACTTGCGCACACACAACATACACGGAGCACACATGCTTGTGCAAGACTGCCTTTAAGCCTACAAGATCAATCCGGATATCGACGCAGTATTCAAAGCTCGTACAGACCACGGTTACTGTCCCGTCATACAAATGAGTTCCGAGGCCCCAGAGATGTCGTCCGCCACGCGAGAGATCCTTGGCAAGGTGCGCCAAATGGTGCCACCCATGCTGGAGAAGTTTCATAAAGGTATTTCGACTGTGCCTGATAATTGCTTTGGCTTGACTAATCTCGCGGGCTTCTCGTATTGGACCAGGTCAGCTGGGTCGAGTAGCTGTCATCGGCGGAAGCGTGGACTACACCGGCGCTCCGTACTTTTCGGCCATGGCGAGCGCAAAGCTAGGGTGTGACATGGTATGTCTTTCTCTCTGACTCATGGCACTTGCACCATATTGACGTTTTGGTATAGTCTCATGTTATTTGCACGCCTGGCGCGGCATCTGTGATCAAAACCTATAGCCCGAACCTCATGGTACATCCGTTGATGCGGCAATCGCCGCCGCCCAACTCGGGCCACCTCCCAGCTACAGACACAGACCCCGAGGAGATCTCCAAGGGCATCATTGACATGCTTGGACGATTGCACGTTCTCGTGGTGGGCCCAGGTCTGGGACGCGACCCGCTGATGCACAAGACGCTGGCCAAGGTGCTGGCAGCGGCACGCGAGCGCAAGATGCCCGTGGTCATGGACGCCGACGCCCTCGGGCTCGTCCAGACGAACCCAGAGCTCGTCATTGGCTGGAAAGAGGTCGTGCTGACCCCCAACGTGGTCGAATTCGGACGCCTACAAAAGGCGCTCAAGGTGGACGAGACCGAGGGCAAACAGCAGTCCGAGACGGCCAAGGTCGAGGCGCTGAGCCGCGCCCTCGGCGGCGTCGCCATTGTGCAAAAGGGCGCCAAGGACTTCATCTCCAACGGCGACGACACCATCATCGTCGACCTCCAGGGCGGTCTCAAGCGTAGCGGTGGTCAGGGCGATACCCTCACTGGCAGCATTGCCACGTTCCTCGCTTGGCGTAATGCTTACCTCGAAGGCCTCTGGGATCATGGCGGGAAGCTTGAGGAGAAGGAGACGCTTCGCCTGGCCGCGTTTGGCGGGGCCGCTATCACGAGAGTAAGTTATGTTGTCTTTTCTTTGCGTTTTCTTGCTCTTTCCCTTTGGTCTCCCTTTGTCATTTGCAATATCCTTTTCGAGAATGACAAGATTCGACTAGTTGTGAACATGAGCTAATGATCTTTTCTATAGGAATGCTCGAGACGCGCCTTTATGAAAAAAGGTCGCAGCTTGCAGGCCAGCGACCTGACAGAGGAGGTACACCCTGCCTTCCTGTCTCTCTTTGGGGAAAATGACCCGGACGCCAAGCTGTAAAATAGTTATTCTAGGCGTTGATGTCTGCTAAGGAGCAGTTCACAAAGTATAATTAATATAAGAGAGCAAATGCTCACTCAGCAGGGAATGAGCACAGAAAATAAAATAATTATACTCTGGGAATCATATTCTTGTAATAAGTTCATTCCCAATACCACCTCTATTTTGATAAATACAAGTCGCTGCTAGCTATATCTAGCTTCACGAACCTCTTGTCATTTGTACGGAATGTGTATGCTTGCACCGGCATGATTATAATCTTCTATCATCGCCCTTTTGCCTAATAAAAAGAGATGTTATCGCTTCATTGTGTCTTATAATGTATGTATATTCATAATAGAGTACAAACTATTTTATGTATGACTTTACTTTTTATTAAAAGTATTCTCAAATCCTTTACTATCTTGATGTTACGAAAAAGGAAAAGAAAAGAGAAAGAGGAAAAGTTGACTTAAACTAAAAAGCTTTATATTATAGAAGAAAATTCTCTCTTTTGCCTTTCTCGACTGCTCCTTTGTGAAAGGCTGATTGAAAAACACCATACGCTTGTCGTTGCTAACTCCCATGGCTTCAGAGATGTCCGAAGCTTTCAAACCCCCCTACCGCCCATGTGGAGGCGGAGCCCTTGCCTCTGGAGGAGTCTTGTCTCCATCAATTCAACCACCTGATCACCAATTTCGAGAGAGGTGACGCTACGCTGGTTGACTGGCAGACAATCTCCATTAGGGTTCATTTGGAACCTGCAGTCACGGTAGCCGTCCGGGCGATTGGGTGTTTCCAATGAGTAAAGGTTATTGGGAACCCCTTTTTTTTTCCCACCAGGAAGGATGTAGGAACACCAAAAATTCCATCGTCATCTTCCCCTTCCATGGAGTCATCCGAGTTGGGTCCTCCTACTTCGCCGCAACCTCCCTCGGCCACAACGGAAAGAGATACCAGAACCACACTTCTGTCGCTTACAGAAATACTTTTTCAGGCAGTTCAGGATTTGAGACAAGAAAGGCAACTGATGCTACAAGACAGCGCAAGCAAAGTCGGGGACTCGAGACCTGCACTAGGGGTCTTGTCGCACTCTGACAGATCCAAGGAGTGAAGCAGTCCTGGCTTGACAGCTGCTGACTCGGTCACACTGCAGGAGCAGTCTTTGAAGCATGACCCGGGTTATCCTTGGCGTTGTTGGAATGTACTACAATTCATATCAAAATTTCTCTCCCTGGGGATGATATTGTCAAGGACGTGGTACGATATTACTCTTCGTCGCCCCACTCATGTCTGGGATGTCGTTATGGCGGCCCTTTTCAACGGCCCGAAACAAGATGGGCATGGTTACTCAAGGATAGGGAAACCTTTCTGTTCCCTGGGGGGAACAACGGATGTATCTCCTAGGCTTGCTTGTGCGTGCTTTCAGATACGTCTCGAGTACTGGAGTGGATGGTGACGGCGACATGTTGATTCTCATGTAGGCACATGATGCCGTGACCCCATGGCCGTCCTGTGTCGCCAGGCACACAAGTCGCGCAGATTGGGCTTCGAGTTCTGATTGCATTCCGGAAACTAGGCGGCGGCGAATGCATGCAGTAAAATACTTGTACAGTCATGGAAAACATGTTCATGTAGTATGGCGCTCGTACTTGTGCAGGGCCACCTTGCACTTACTTGGTTCTACTGTCGTGAACCTGTGATACATGTAAAGCTTGATCCCGATTTTGGTCACCCTCCTCAAGGCAAAGTCGTAGGGCTTGAATCAATCAATAACAGGATATTTCTTCGAGGTCTTTTTTTCCTTCTTTCCCCCAGGGGTATATATACGTGCATTAGTGGTCTGTCATGTCGTTTTGACTATATGGGGGGAAAGACATGGGGGCAGATCGATCAGCGAGGCTGTCTACCCTTGTTCCCCGTCCTGTCTGTTGAGGGGTCATGGATAGTAAAAAGGTCATGGTCTGATTGATGCAAATATGAGCAAGCAACATGCCACATTTTGGTCGACGGATATCATCTTCTTGGGACTCGCTTTCCAGTGGTTGGAGAACCAGGTCCGATCTCATCAGGCAGAGTTTTGATTGCATAATGCAGGTCAACGTTTCGCTCGCTCTGGGCAAAATCCGGGTGCCTGCATATTGCCTTTTCTTTCATCTGAAAAGCACCGACAGCTTTCGTTTACATCTTTGGGGGACAGGAATCGAATGCAGTCTTTTCTTTGCCCCCGATTCAAATACATTGCACTCCACAGATGGGAAAAAGCTCTCTAAATTTTCTCCCAGTCATTGAGTTCTTGTTATATAATACGGTCGTCATCCACCATCATTTATGATTCGGCGGTGAAAGCCTTGGGACGCGAGACGATTTTCTCGCAATTTACCTACCTTTACTCCAGTCCATTCACGAAGCTGATTTTAGCTAATCACAGCAGGTTCGAGTGTTTTGGGCAGTTTTGTTCGCTTGTTGTTTCCATTCTATTGGCTATCCAGCTGGCTCGGATTGCACCAAGGTGAGTCGCGGGATCGGTGATACCAGGACTGCCGAATCTGGCAGCACGAGACATGAAGTGACCGAACACAGTCTTGTTTGTCATTTTGAGTTGTTGAGAGAGCATCTGCAAGTGTATTCAACAGGTCAATTTTTCAAGCAGATCCGATGAACTTGACAGATCTATTTACCTCCCAATCTACCAAGGCACAATAGGTCTATAGCCAGCCAGTGGCTGATGGGCATCTATGAGATTGGAGCTATCGGGGAACTATATCCTTGGCAGTAATATCTGCAATCAAGGCAGCAACTGCATGAAATTTGGTGGCAGCAGAGAAAGAGAGAGAGAATCGAGACTGGCGCCCTTTGAATGGAGAACGAGCACGCACGCTATACACCAAGACAGGATTGGCAAGATGTGAGTTTAATCAGATGGAATGATGACTATACCCAGAAATCAAACGTCCAGGTGATTTCCAACGGAAGCAGTCCCACCATCCTGTTGAGAGTGAGGCACTTTGGCGGCATGATCTAAACGAGCAGTATGTAGCACAAAATGTGGGAGAGAATGGCATTGGGGTAATGCCCCGTTGTTTGCTGCTCCACGAACCCCAAATCATAGCAAACCCTCTCGACCCCTCCCAAGCAAATCACCCAAGAAGAAAGAAAAAAACAATGTGTTATGCTGTATCTCGGTAGTCTAATAAAGCCGTCCAAATCGACCTGGCAGTGATCGTGCATCAACAGTCTGGATCGGTGACCTCTCGCTGTGCGGCATCACTCCACTCGTTGTCATGACATGTCATTTTCAGAGCAGACGCCACATCATGGCATGTCCTCTCATGTTTGTTCCGTTGGACTCTTCAGCGGCTTGGCAACCTGACAAAGTTGTCTGGTGGACGGCGCGGCACATGATCGGGGCGTCCATTCTGAACGTGTATGCCATGATTGTGTCGTGCTTTAGGTTGCCGGGTAAGTGGACAGGCCGTTTCCTAAACTCAAATGTGTGAGATGACCCAAAGACGAGGAAGAGGGGGAACAAGAAGACAGGATAATCATGTACGGTTGCTTTTGAGTGTTCATGCATTAAAAAGGTCAGTGATTGTGCCGAAGTGACCCAACTCAGTTTCTTGTTATCCGTTCAGTGGCGGAATCCGAGGAAAAAGAAAAAAAAAATAGTAAGAAAAAAATAGGGAGACGGGTTTGGCCATATTTGCTTTACTTCCGCGAGGGCCGCAAGTCTCAATGCTTAAGACATGGGCTTGGGTGTACTGCTGGCAAGCCCTTGCCCTGATAGACTGGAATTCGCGGCTGCAATTCTAAGCCACGATATTCACGTCTAGCATTGGTATATTGGCTAATTTTATGATATTCAATAAAGGGCACTTTCAAGGCGAGTGGAGTAATCCGTCTATTCAGCTGATGACAGAGCACTGTGGTTCAAAAGGTCGACATACAACGAGGTATTGGTAAATTGGCTTTACGCTTAGGTGTATTCCTGTGCCAAGATTCGCGGGCCAGGGGGTGGCAAGAGCCTTAAGGATATCAAGACGTTGTCTGATGGTCTTTTTTTGAAACATACAGACTTTACTGCGACTGCCTTTTGGACTTGTTTGCCCGATTCTGTTGAGCCCAAGGTGGAGATGATTGAATCGGTCGAGATGCGGCCTGGCTCAGATCAGAGCCGATGGGCGGTCGAACGCGACGGACACCGTTGTAGGCGGAACGAGTGCAGTAGTGTCCGTCTTGCCAGGCCAGATGCAGTATACTATTTTGCTGTACACAAGACGCTACATGTACGTGATTGCTTTTTGGTACATGTAGCTCCAGATTTGAGTTGTGCAATGCAGCAATTCCTTCTCGCTTGGCCGGCTTGGGGAGTGGCCCAGACTAGGAGGTAGACATATGACGGCCTAGCACAGAAGGTTGTAGCGTCGAGCGATCTGTGGTCTGTCACACTTGGGACGGCCGCGGTGGTCCAACAAGAGATTTGGGTATGCAAGATGCGGTATGTAACGTCGTCAAAACAAGAGTGACCAGAAGTCGCTTCTTACTTCTCAGCTTGAGTTGACAAGATGGATACGTACATGGCTGTAGGTACGCAGTCGAAAGCAGTCGTCGCAGTACGCAGGTCCGGAGCTGATGGTGCCCATGTGCAGGGTCAACCCTGGATCAGCTTGGACATGGTCGGTGTTTGACAAGTTGCGTTCTTGGCTCGCATCTGGAAAAGGCTGGCTGGGCTGTTTGGGCTTGGTGCCGGTATGTACAAGTTTGAAAAGTGCCAAAATTGCTTTTTTTTCGAGGCTGTTTTCAGACTCTTCCCCCACTCACCTCTCACCAACGCGAGCCGGCAGGTTAGCCGCATCATGGAAAGCAAACCGGCTCAAAAGAGTTGTTGTCTCCCTTGCCGTTGCTTGACCATGATGGAAAAGCTCCAGAACGTACAGTATGCAAGGTATGTCGTTGGGGAGGGAGGGAGGGGGGCGAGGGGAGACATTGAGTAAGGTTTTGGCAAGCCCTGCCGCAGCAGAGGTCATGACCTGCATTCTAGTTGTCATGGCATGTGAGAGATGACATGTACATACAATACAGCTTTTCGAGAGGGCAACGACGACGACGAAGGCGGCGGCGGCGGCGGCGTCATCACGTCGCATCGGCAGGTCTCGGAAATACTCGCAAACACGGGGACGACGACCTGACACCTGACAGACTGTGATACATGGGATGAATCTTGGATGACAGCCTCGTATTCTCTCTTGGGTTGTAATGGTGTACACTGTAGCCTCCTCCTTTAGGCCAGTTGGCGGGAGTTTTGGCACCTCTCCAAAACGACGGAGGCTAGTAGTAGTAAAAGTGCAGTAGTCTCGTAGATCATGGAAGGAAAAGAAAATGAGAGGAAGAAAAGAGAGGGACAATTTAGAGAAAAAAAAAAAGCAAAGTCTGGGCAAATTTCCTTTCTAGTGTCTCCTCCTCCTTCCTTCCGGATACTCTAGCTTGGTAGCAGCAACTAAGCTTTGGTGTCTCTACTGCCCTTGCTTCCTTTTTTCTTTCTTTTTCTCTTTCCTTCTTTTTTAGCTTCCTACACTAGTGCATCAGCGTTTGCCTATTCTATGGAGTATGTACTAGGTAGTGTGCATCAACTTTCATTGATTTACATACCGGCAGTGCACAAAAAAGTAGGGGTAAATCTTATGTACTACTAGAGAGTAGGTACATAGCACAGGTATCTTAGATGATGGGTGTATGCAAGTTTATTACATCCAAGTCAAATAAAAGAAAAGTTGCGTCACTCGCAGCCATGACCCCTCCTCATAAATGTGCATTCCTTAAAAGACATGTTGGGACAAAGGTCGAGCCAATCATGCATTCACTGCCCACCCCTTTGCTTCCTGATGCTCTGGCTGGGCTGGTTTTTGATTGGCATCCTGGAGGCTTCGCTAGGCCTCAGCTGTCATCCCTCACGATCGACATCCATCCCCGTTCTCGACCTCCAGCCAGGAACAGCCCTGTGTTCGGCTTCCGGCTGCTTGGGACGTGAGATCGCCCGTCGTTCACTCGTCCATCCTTGTCCATATTGTAGTCAAACCATCGCTGCAGAGGACTACGACCCTTATCATTATGATTACCTTTTCTGTCATCACATCTAGACCTCTCTCTCTCTCTCTCTCTCTCTCTCTCT